AATCTTTGAGCCAGCTTAAAATTATTATTATAAATGCTCAAGATATAATTGCTATAATTTCATTTTATACTTTGTTTCTCTTATGTTCATTCATTTTTACTAAGAATTCTCTTCTATATTTTAAAGAATAGTCTCTATTTCCAAATTAAAAAAGAGACAAACCAATACCAATGAAATTCCGTGTGGAAATTTTAGTTACTATCTTGATTCTACATAGAATTGTTTTAAATGTTTGTTGCTAGATTTTTGTTATAAGTGATTGTGTTTACACTTAGGTTTATGGTAATGCAGTCAACAAATTGTTATACTTTATGCTTAGGCAATTTCAGCTATTCTTTCACATCAAAATTTTCTAATTTTTAAATTCTGAAGATTTCCTCATTTATCCTTATTTCTATAAGTAGTTGTGTTAGTCTGGGTAGACTAGAGAAACAAATTCGTAGACACACACACATGTGTATAAGAAAGAAGTTTGTATACAAGAGCAATTATATATTGAGAAAACATCCCAGCCCAGTCCTGGTCAAATCCGTAAATCCGTAGTAGTCCATATGTCTGATAACAATCTAGGAAGTCCTCTTCAGACTCACAAAACATATAATGACGCCGAAGGCAGGGCGATCACAGGCCAGTGGTGATAGAAGCATCTCAGCACTGGCAGGGTCTCCATATGGCTCCTCCAGCTCCCAGGGCTCCATCAGGGTAGGTCCATGTGGCTTCTCCTCAGGGATGTCTCACAGGAAGTCAGTAGAGAGTCTCCTGCCTCCTAGAAGGAAATACCGGAATTCCCAGAATCCCCAGAGGAAAACCATGCCCACATAGAGGCCTCATTGGCTATATCCCAATGAACAGACCAGACTCCACCCCTTTGCTCATAATGCTCTCAACTTGCCAACGGATTATATAACTACCACAGTGGCTTTAAGTATTCACCGGAGGTATAGTTTACATTAACATGTGTATCTCAGAATGACATTCTATTATCATGGCACAGGAAAGATGCTTTCCTTGGCTTGTCATTTTGATTCACAATTTGTTTTCCTGTACATATTGAAGCATAAGCTCCATTGTTTTAAGTTGGCATCAGATATGGTAAAGGAAAAGTCAAAAGCCAATGCTGAAATTTTGATCCTCATGGGTTTTTTTTTAGCCTAATTAAACATTTTTATAATAATTTCTCGAACTAGACCTCCTCTCCCTGGTCAGATAAAAAAGCAAAACCCCTAAAGTCAATGGACGATGATGTCATGTAACCCCGCCAAAATGAAGGCCAACCAACCATGAGTCGTGCTTTCGTGGAGCAGGCTAAGGCACACTTCCATCAAATAATCACGCAAGTCATTTCAAACGTCTTTCATGTCTAGGCTGGAGCTAATTTATGAAGCTCTATGTAAACTGCAGTTATTATTTTGCCCTTGTATGGACAAAGGATGCTATTCTTATCTGATTACAAAATTGCTAATACTAGAATTCTCAGGTCTTTCCTGCAAAGATAATATTTTTCACTTTTTAAAGAAAAAATTCTTTTCCTGTTTTCACAAGGTAGGAAAAAAGAGTGCAAAAGTTCACTCTCACTATGTTTCTATTTCTAGCGTAATTATATTTAGAGTATATTGAGTCAGTGATATGAATACACATCTTTTTGTATTGGTCTTTTTGAAAAAGACAAAATATACACAGCAAGTACACCTGCAGAATGTTCAATGAGAGCGACCATCCTCTGTGAGCAAAGGTACATTTCTTGGTGCTGTGATCCTGGGGTGGCTTTCCATGGCCTTCATGTTAAAGTTGACAGAAGAGATGAAAGAGATCAGTCTTGTAGGTCAAATGACACCAACCTGCAATTCTTAACCTTTCTTTTTCTGCCATCCCATCTCAAGTCTTCCTCTGGTCTAGACTCTGTGGCCCACAGGTTCCAACAAGTTGTTCATGCTCCGTTTCTATTAGCCAATTCTGGTAACCTCTCGCCCTGCAGTCAGTCAACCTGATGGACCCTTGGACCTGCACCTTGGAAAGGTTATTGATCCCTGACGTAAAGTCATTAAGCATGTGCAGAGGACTGTTCTAGAATTAGAAAACTCAACCCTTTCCCAACTACACATCTTTTATCGAGTCCCTTCACGTCTCTGAAAGAATTGCCTTCCATATGAAACGGGGACCTCTCAGGCTCATTGGAGCCAACTTTGCCTAGAAGGTCAAGGGCATCACCAGAGCTGACCTATGGTAAACCATAGATTTGACCTTGGACCAAAGCCCAATCTCATGGGACCTGGTTATAGGAATTGCTGACTATGATAAGCCATCAATCAGCTCATCAACTTCCCAGGGGTGGCACTTATTAATTTCCCTGTAATGTATCTCCTGAAGGTAGAGTCTCATATGTTATATTCAGGGACTTACACAAGACCGGGCATAACGTGTCATTCAGTAAATATTGAGTGAGTAATGAGAGTTGTGCCTCCGAAGGAGCTCTGTTGGCACTGTGAGATAAGCATTGGGCTGCTAACCACAAGGTCACTGGTTCAAAACCATCTGCTGATCTGAGGGAGAGAGATGAGGATTTTTTCAGTTTTGTAAGCCCTGTCTAGGGCCACCATAAGTCAGGATTGATGGAGTGGCATTGGGTTTGGTGGTGTCCTTTCTAAGTTCATGAATCGCCGCAGCAGCCAGTGGGAGAACACTCGGAGGCCAGCGGCAGCCATCCATAGTTCCGAGTTCGAGTCATGACATTTCTCAACCGAAAGATGAAAGGAGGACATATACCTTTCATTTTTGTGAGGATAAAATAAGGAATGCATTTCCAAGGCATTCCAGCGTGTTGGGTGGAGTTCGCCTAGTGCTGTGTAAGGCACCCTGCTTCTAGATTAGACCTCCCGGTGAGCATGAACCCTGGCACTGAGCGGGAGGGGCGGCTGTGATTCTCAGCACCAGCGCGTCAATGTCCCATAGCCTCCTCTAATCCACTTGTGGAGAAAGCTCGTGATCCACTACTTATCCGGTTCACTCGTGTTGTGACCCGTTAGTCAATGAAAGTTCATTAGGATTATGCTGCCGGGAGAAGGAGCCCAGGTACAGGTGTGGCACTTCACACCTATCGGCCACTCTGCTAGAGAAAGACATGCAACCGGTTCCTATGGACAGTCCCAGTCTGTCACACAGGGCCCACCACCATGGCAAGGGACAAAGAGCCAGATCAAGCTGCTGGGGCCTCGCCCCAGAGATGAGACTTGGAGGATCCTTCAGTGTCAGGGGCGCAGTACCACAGCAGCAAGACTGCAGGAGCCACCAGGTTCAGAAATAGGGAATGCAAGGTAAGGGGCATGAGTGGAACAGAGTCAAACCCACCACAATGTCAAGGGCACCTCTGTGAGCTCAGTGCTGTAGCAGACCTGCCATGGTGCTGTAAACTGTGCTTCCTTGAGCCTGGTGGGGCTGACAGCTCCAAACGGCGGCCCCCTCGGGGACTGGACTGTTTGCCATCGGCATCTCAGGGTGTTCCATCCCTGGGTTGTTTTTCTTCCTTCTCCACCCTTTCCACTGTATTCCCACCAACTGAGTAAATGCCAAGGAAATGCAGGCTACAAAACAAAAAGCAAGTTGAGGTCTGTAGAGGTATTGTGGTCTCCAGAGCCCACCTAGCAGACCCATGTTGCTGACTAGCCTCCTGTCAGTGGTGTTGGGGGTACAATTGCTTTAGGTGATAAGAAAACCTCTTAGACTTAACCCGGTTCCAGCCATAGAGACGTCTGTACTTTCCCATCTAATCCACAACACCCCCTGGCCCCCCTCAAAAAAAAAAGCAAACACACTCTGAAAACAATCTTTTTTGTAAGTTTGGGGCAAGTTCATTGATGGTAAGTTCGCCTGCCCAAACTGACCTATACTGTTGGTAGCCTTTCTGAACCCCACCCGCTGGACTCTGTAGTGCACATTTGACCGCAGGGAGCCTCCACAGACCCTGCTGTCTGGAGGTGGTGTGCAGTTTCGAGATGGATCTTCTGAAACATGTAGAATCCTAGATTCCAAAGATTTCAGGCCCTAGGGGGTTTAGATAAGAGCCTGTGAACCCTAACTGGTTTCTCTTAGGAGCTCGTGGTGGTACAACGGTAAAGCGCTTACTACTAGCGGAGCGGGTGTTGAGTTCGAACCCACGCAGAGGCATCTCGGAAGACCGAGCTGGAGATCAGCTTCCGAAAGGCCTCGTGTGGCCTGGCCAACCCCAAAGCCCCCACGAGTTGGAAAAATGCTGCCAACATCATTAATCCCTCCTGGACAATGTTTCTTCTTCCCGCTGCGGGGAAAATGGAGTGGGGACGCGCAGAAGCCCAACAAACGCCCATCTCCAGCAGTTTAACTGTGGCTCGAGCTTTTCGGGCCTGGGTCTGCTGGAGAATAGATGTTTTGAAGGACCGAAAAAGGAAGGAAATCTAGATCTGTGCCTTTCCTCCAGTGAAAACTCGAAAACCCCAAGTTTCGCCGTGGACACGGCGTCCTTCCTGCCTCCCCACCTGTGGCCGCCTGAGCTGTGCGAGCGCATCCGCGTGTGACTGTGACTTACGGAGCCAGAGCGCCACCTTTCCTCCGCCGCTGGAATCGACTCTCCCGGGGCCGCGGCTGCTTCGGCTGCTTGAGCAGTTCCGTAGGCTAGACCGCAAGAAAACCATCCCCTGTGGGGTTTCTCGACACTCAAATCAACAAGGAAGAGCTGCAAAGAGGACAAGGAAATATGGGGTGGTTTTTTTGTTTGTTTTTGCTCGTTGATCCTTGAACAATTAAATGGGGACCCTAATGTGGTGTTGGGGAACGTGGACCATAAACCCTGTGTTTAATTAGTTTGCACCCTGTGAGTCCTTGTACGCACTAGACGCTTTAATTTACAACCCGCTGCATTGCAGCACTCTGCTTGTATGTAGTAAGTTATTCTTCTAGCTGTTCGGGCTTTACAAACATGATACCTTCTCTCAGTCCAGATTTTTTCTTTCTCTCTCCCCAATTTTCAGTTGCAAATCAAACATGCAGTCACAGAAGCTGAGATTCAAAAATTGAAGACAAAGGTAAGACCCAATTCATAGTCCCTGAATTGTGCTTTTTAAACTCCAGATGCTATGAATAAATTCAGCCCCCGGGACTAACGGATTTGTTCCTGTGCGTTTGAAAGAATACACATGCTAGAGATTCCATTCCCGGGTAGGTGTGCCAACAGACCTGCCCCTGACAGCAGGAGCTCCTCTTCCCGCCCTCACCCCTATAACGTTATTTTCAGACACAGATAGCCACGTAATTGCACATCTGTGTCCAATTGCCTTTGAGCTTTCCTCAAAGGGTGATATTTTTAATGGTTGGCATCCAAATACCTTTTTGAGCACTAATACTTGAAGCAGTAGCTATACCATATTGCCATCTCTTTATTTATCTTATTTTTAATAGATTCACTCACTATTTTTAACTTAGCTACATATATTTATATATGCAACAATACGTTGCTTTAACGTTACACAAGCATGACGTTTTGGTCATTCAAGTGTGGGTTTTGTGTAATGTGATATCCGTGCCCTTGCCGTTGAGTTGTGTGGATTTATACTGACTGTGTGCCACACACGATTGATTTGAGGAGCCAGGTGCTGCTGGAAACTTTGAGACAACTTCACATTGTTTAGATTTGTAGGGGGGAAATGGATCTTGGTAAGGGGGAATATGTATGTATGGTTGATGTTTAAGGATAGTTGTAAATAGGAGTTCCAAAAAGTTATTTTTAATGGACAGTTGCAGTTGTATGAGACACAGTTCTAGGAATTCTGTTTAGTTTTATCAAGTAAGCAATTTCAAAATATTAAAAATACTTTTTGAATTACTTCTGGAACAGTATTCTTTATTATTTTGATGGGCTTAAAAAAACTAAGACTTAATTCATCCTCCCCAGCTATTAATGATCTGTTTTCCTGTTCACATTGAAGAGTCTTTCAGTTTTCCATGTGTTTCAAATGAAGATGAATTAGCAAGGTTATTTTGGTTAAATGGTATTCTCAGCTAATACCCGCTGTACCTCTTTAGTCAAAACATGTCTATACATCATTCATGGTGTCAGCCCAGCTTGGAGAATAATAAATTTTAAATTAGTAATGGTTAGTAAATAAACAACTCAAATGCCAAACATTGCTTATTAAAAGATGCATTTAAAAGCTTACCCTTGTTTTAAGTTGTTATATTTCTTGACACACAATGAGGAAATAGATTGGTATATGTTTGTTTGTTTGTTTGTTTGTTTGTTTGTTTTGGATTGCAATCAGGAAAAAGGATTTCCCTGTGGTTGTAGGTGCTTCAATGAAACTTATGCCTTAGACTATAAATATGTTGAAAAGCCTGCATGGTAGCACTGTATATATTTTCTTCTTATATTAACTGGTAAGATTCCCCTAAATTAGGTTTATTTTTACTTATCTTTTATTATTCATGTTTATAATAAATGTTCTAATTGTTAAATGTTCTTTATGACTTTTTTTTCTATAGCTCGTTTTGTCAATGTATTTAAAAATATACATACAAGCATACTTACACATCTAAATATGTAAATATTGTTGAATGCTGTCTGGTGTCTAAGTGTCTTAGACTGTGGACACTGCTTGTTTATAGAGACTGCATCCATTTGAACTATGAAGGACACATGAAATAGATGAAGCAGTGGCTTGAAGGTCAGACGGTCGTTGTGATTAGAGGACTTTGACCCTTCACCTTAGGGCTCAGCCTTGAGTTTCCGCAGAAATGAAAGGGTTGGAGTCATGTACAATGTACTCCTTAGAGTCCTTACAAGTGGAAACTAGAAGGAGCTGCTTTTTATTGCACTGGAAGCATTTTAATTAATCCAGCAATGATTTATACTTTTACTTATATTATCTTTTATACTTTTTATACACATATGGGATTTATAAGGCTCTAGAAACTCATAACACTGCCAGCAGTATAATGAGCTACAGACTGTATCCATGTCATTGGAAATGAAGGCTGTAGTCATATCATCCAAAGCAGAGTGAAAGGCAGCTAACGTTTCCCAGATGGTGACTCTTCCCAAAGAGCTGTCCGAGCATGCCGATAGGTTGCGTCACAGTTCTGGTCTCTAGATGATGCCACGGAGTCTCCAAGAACGGCAATTACTTACCCAAGATTAAAACGCCGTTAATGCCAGAGCCCACATTCAGTCGCAGCTGAATGCCCTCAGACTTCCCTTCTTTGCAGCTCAGTCGGGCTCCACTCTCATCCTTCCTTTCCTGGCCTTCTTCCATTGTTAGGTAGTTTGGAGGTTTGTTTTCTACATGGAATTGCGTATCTTAAAGGGGGGAAAATGCAAATAAAATGGGTTCAAGTCCACTGGATAGAATACAACTTTAAAACACTTTGCTGTTCACAGAACTGCACCCTACACAGTACATGATGGAAAGATCATCAGATTTGGAATTAAAGTCTGTGTTTTATCATGTCTCATATGTTGTGACACATCATTTCACTTTTCGAGGTTTCTATTTCACCATTGGTGGGCTGATGAAAATAATACGTGCTCTTCTAATCTCAAAGTTTTGTATTTTTGATGACCTAACATCTATTCTAACGGAATGCCATCTGACACATGCGGGACACCATGAGAGGTTTTTGCTATAGAGGTCTCCAGTGATCCTTGCCTGGACATTTGCCTTTTTCAGCTGCAAGCGGCCGAAAATGAGAAAGTGCGGTGGGAGCTAGAAAAAACCCAACTCCAACAGAACATAGAAGAGAATAAAGAAAGAATGTTGAAGCTGGAGAGCTACTGGATTGAGGCGCAAACCTTATGCCACACAGTGAACGAGCACCTCAAGGAGACGCAAAGCCAGTATCAGGCCCTGGAAAAGAAGTACAACAAGGCCAAGAAGCTGATCAAGGACTTCCAACAAAAGTAAGCAGCTTGTCATGACTAAAGAACGGTTGGGTGAGTCCACAGACAGTTTACAGCCAATCATTGTGCAGAATCTAGTGTTACGGAAAAGGATAACCTCAGGGTTAACCTTCTCAAAAGTAGTTACAGCAAAAGCAAGCAGTCGGTTTTAGAAACCGCTTCCATCTTTTTTTTTCTTTTCCATATGAGATTATATTTTATGTATTTTATACATTTGGCTATCAGTTGCCTTCTGATTTTTTTTGGATAGTCAATTTTTGACAGTAACATTTGAATCTCTTTATCACTTTTGAAACATTTCTGTGATTTATAAGCAAAAAGCCCAGCTACTTAAGTCATGCGGAATGACTTGGGTGTGGTTCTTGTAAAGTGGTGATTGGCCTTAATGCAGTTGCTTTGATCTCTGTTCTTAGAATTAGTCAACACAGAATTTTGCTGCTGTTCATGTTGACTGGCAAGACCCCTGCCCTGCCACTCTGCTCAGCAGCTGTTGCGTGAGTCACAAGGGCCTCAGTTGACCGCATTGATAGGGACTGTCACCACCTCCTCCACTCCCTGGTTTCTGCTGCATTGAGCTCCGGCCGGCCGTGCTGCTCCAGCTCTTGGATCTTGGTCTCATTTGAGGGAGACTGACCAAGGAGATTTTGACTGGATGTTTTCCTTACTCCTTCTGACTAGGAAAGACAAGGAAAATGAGTGTCATTACCTTTTCTAGTCTTCCTTGCCAAACCTTAGACGCTAAACTGACTATGCAAGAGGCAGGGTATCTCTTTATTTCCTACCATGGAAAGACGTTTTCTTTCTTTTTTTTTTTTTTAACAGTTTTATTGGCACTTCATCCACATATCACACAATTCAATAGTTTGATCATTTCAAAGAGTTGTACAATCGTTACTACAACCAAGTTTAGGACATTTCCTTCTTCCTTGTACTCCTGGTTTTTGTGTAATTATTTTTTCCCAGTGTGGCAAAAGTATTCACAACAAACCATTCTGCAACGTCTGCGTGTATAAGGCAGCGCATTGAGTTTGGTCCCTCTCCAAATTATTGCTCCGCCATAACTTTGAATGCCGTGGCCCCTAAGCAAGTGCTCTTCCTCCTTCACCACAGGTCAAGTTTGATTCAAATGGTGTTTCCAGCGATGAAGGAATGGCTTTGAAAATTTATCCTTAAAAGACAGGAAGGGAATAGCACTTTGCAACCATACATCGCTATTTTAATTCTCTTTGCCCCAAAATATCATTATCTAATTTTCTTTTATCAAATATCTTTGTAATAGATGTTGGTGAATTGCCTATCTACTCCATATTGTATATTCCATTCTGAGTCTCAAAATGAAGAAATTTCTGCTCTCTGTCTTGTCTTTCAGTATCCCCATACTCCCCTTTAAGGTTTCAGATCCACCCCTGCCCTCCCCATTGTCTTTGTTAGATAGGAGTTGCATTATGATTATCTTTTTAAAATCCAGTTACATGTCATCGGTTTACTGTGTGTATGGCATTGAAAATATGCCATTTTTTCTATCTGATGGGCTGTTATTGCCAATAAATCTCACTTGAGTAGGTCGTTAGTACAATACACAAACTCATGCCACGGACTCAGCCTGACCCATAATGACCCCGTAGCATCCGGTAGAACTGTCCCTGCTAGTTTCTGAGACTGTAACTCTTTCTTCCAGAGCAAGAAGCCTCATCTTTCTCCTGCAGAGTGGCTGGTGGTTTTGAACCGCTAGTCTTTACAGTTAGCAGTCCCAACATGTAACCCGCTATGCCATCAGGGCTTTTATTAGAGCAGTTACTCCTATGGATGGGTGCTCTAGAATCAGGAGCTAGAGAAGAAAATCAAACATGCAGATTTAAAGTATTTTTATTTATCATGATACACTAAAGATACTTTTACTTTCTAGACTACATTTTACCTTTTTTCCTAGCACTCCGGAAGGCTTGACTGCGTACCTCTGTGACTGAGATTTGTTTACTTAATAGATGTCCTTGTTTACTTAATAGATGTCCAGTTACTTATCGTGCCACACAATGTATGCCTTCAGATAAGGACTTTCACGTTTTCTTATTTATTGAGTGTTTGATGCAATCACATCTATTGTTTTCTTCTTAAGAGAACTTGATTTCATCAAAAGACAGGAAGCTGAAAGAAAGAAACTGGAAGATTTGGAAAAAGCTCACCTGGTGGAAGTTCAAGGCTTACAAGTACGGGTGAGTTATGTTCTCTACGTCACTAATAATGAGGTGGTTTCTACCTGGGAGTTGGAAAGGATGACTAGCTTAGAGTTTTATGAATGAATTTATTTTTCCTAGATCAGAGATCTGGAAACTGAGGTGTTTAGGCTCCTGAAGCAAAATGGCACTCAAGTTAACAATAACAACAACATCTTTGAGCGAAGAACATCTCTTGGTGATGTCTCTAAAGGAGATGCCATGGAGAATTTGGATGTCAAGCAAACGCCTTGTCAAGACAGCTTAAGTCAAGGTTCGTTTAACCTCACAACAAAATTTGCTTTTATCGACTGCATGATTTGTCCTTACATTGGTCTTTCCCCCCCTTTTTTAAATCTTAGAGATTTTTAAAAGTAAGAAAACCTTTATACTATGGGAAAACAGAAAAGGTCTATCAAAAGAGGGGCCTGTCATCATAGCTTTTATCAAAAATAAATGCTATAATGTAAAGAACTAAGAAAATTCAAACTGAAGTCAAACCAAAGAGTATCATTTTCATACGATGATAAAAGAGATAGAACTGATACAGTGCCTTAAAGAACGCCCACCCCCTCACTTTGGATACAACCAGTGGTCTCCTCTCACGTGGAGCCAAGGGCAGTGAAGGCAACCAAAGGCTCAAGACAAGCAGCCTCTTCTCACTTGAGATCAGAACAACTTGCTGGTGCCCGGCGGTCACTACCAACTGCTCTGACCAGAGACATAATCAGAAGGGACCAGTAAGCATAGAAGAAAAAAATAGAGCAAAACTCAACAGTCACTACAAAAGATCCAACTTAGTGGCTAGTCTGATGGAGACTGGAGGCGCACCCTAAGGCTAAAGCCACTTCAGAGGCTGCCTCCCAACGAAATAAATAATAAGCTGGCTTATGAAGTAGACAAACACCATGGAGCACGTGCTCTTTAGAACAGACCGAAAGGCTGACCTTTGCCAGAAACTAATCAGAAGGCGGGAAAGGGCAGGGAAACTAGACGAATGGGAATGAGGACGCCAGGGTGGAAATGAGGAGAGCGTTAACACACCGGGGCACCTGGACAATTTGTGTATGAATTATTTCATAATTCATAGTTTACTGTGTAAATTTTCATCTAAACCACAAACCAATGTTCAAAAATAATCGGCATTTGAAGAACAAAACAAATGAGAGCAAGAAGAATCCTTGCTTAAGTTAACAGAGCAGCAGTCCCTCGTTATTTATCACGGTCCAGGTGCTGTGCACAACTCCAAGGCCGTGTTGACTCTCACTGAAATGAACGTGTTGGCATATGCTTTGCTGTCGATAGTCTCCCCACAACAACAAAGTAAAGTGTGATAGCACGACAGTACACCCCACATAGGGTTATCTCCACTAGACTCAAAACCACACCTGCTGCTGTTGAACGGATTGCTCCTCGCAGTGTCCCTGCTGGGCCAAGTAGAACTACCCTCTCGGGTTTCCAGGGTCACGGTCATTGCAGAAGCAAGTTGCTAGGTCTTTCTCCCACAGAGCCGTGGGTGGATGTGAACCAAGTCCTCAGCCATCTTGCCACCAGGGCTCCCTTAGGAATCCATGCAGAAAGTTTAGATTTTTAAATCACTAAAACCAAGATCTTTGGGGGTAACATTTCAAAAGGCGTGGCTGCCGCCGTCTAGCACTGGCGTTATTTAAACCGTGCCTGGTTTGGTGTTTTCCCCTTGGCGTGTCCTATCCGAGTGTCCTCTCCCTTTCCCGTGCGAGGCCGGATGTCGCCGTCGTTATGTGCCATCAAGGTGACTGTGACTCACGGTGACCCTGTGGGGCAGAGTGGAACTGCCCGCCCCAGAGGGTTTCCAAGTTTAAAACCTCGGTGGGAGCAGATGGCAAGCTCTTTTCGCAGGCAGAGCTGCTGGTGGGTCCAAACACCAGTGTTTCACTTTGCAGGGCAGGTGCTAAACCAGCGCGCCACCAGCGCACTCCCAAAGGTCAGCACCTAAGACTAAACCACTGGAGACCTTGTCCTCTGAGGGACGTGCACCGAGCACTGACAGATCACTTGTTCTCTCCCCATGGCTCCACCACAGAGAATGGGGCACATGCACATAAATGGAATTTTGTTTTAATTTGTACAGTGCCTTTGAGAGATAGATGGCTTTCTACCCCCCCTCCCCCCAATCGTATCGGGTCACCTGGGTCGTCATTGCCTCGATGGCAGTGAGTTTGGTTTGCAGTGAGTACCTTTATAAATTAGAAAGTGCCTTAACAATGTGCAGAGAAAAATACCAGAAGTACATAAATCTTTCACTTTCATCTTTTAAGATGTGTACCAAGAAATCCTTGAAAAAAAAGTGAAACTCAAAGAATGTGGTAGCACTCTGCTCATTAGTGAGATGGGCAGATTATCCCTGTGCTTTGTCGCATAGTCACAGGTCTCTAATGCAATTTTTATGATAATAAACAAGTGCTCGTGTTAGAGTGCTAGGCTTAAAAACTCAACTCTGAGCAATTGAAAAGTATTGGAAGATTTCCTTTAAAATTATACGTACATAGAGATTTTACTCCATGCACTGGATGTATGTCTCTTGATGAGTTTTCCTATGTAACCGGATGGAACCTAGAAACACTGCCTGTGTGGCCGCTGAAAGAGGAGGATTTAGCACCAGCATTACCACAGGCTGGGGACTGTGTGACTCCCGACAGGTCGTGTGGATTCTCTGCACTGCTTGTAATATGTTGAATACAAGAATAGTGATATTTCTTCCTTTCCCACCTAGCGGAGTCTTTTTGAGAATATATCGTTTATTCGTAGGGGGGGGGATTTTATTAACACCATTATGAAATTATTATTTTTGCTTCTGGAACACTAGAAGATTGCTATCAAAAGAGGGGGGGAAAGCCTAAGTCAAACCAGTTTGGTTTCGCCACCGCTTTTGAGTATTTTAATTTAACCCTGACTGTGGTTTGAGGTACCCACGCTGGCGCACGGAGTGTGAGGATCAGTGTGCGGGCTGGCTTTTGGGGGCGCAGGTCAGTTGAGTTCCTTTCTTTCAGAGCAGAGATCTGTATCTCACCAAACATCGACATCATGGGAGCCAGGACATTAGGGGACCACAGACTAAGCACATGCCGATTCAGAGCAAAAGCGCACATTTCTCCTGAACCTTCTTTCTGTTCACACCCTCCATTTTGCCACATAATGATCAGTTTCCCTGGCAACCCTGTCGGTGCACAGTGAGAAGCGGAGACTACTAATTCTTCCCGAAACCAATCCGCGTTCGTGCAGTCGAGGTAGAATCAGCCATCTCGGACACCAGCAGCACACACATCAAGAGAGCTCGGCCAGTGTTTACTGCCCACGACAGTCAGTGATAAACCTTCTCGAATTTCAATGGCTTGGTCACACAAACAAACATGGCTTGGTCAGGAGCGAGATAGGAATGCTCTGGAAAGCACTTTTCTAAATTGATCTTTGTTTCTGTTGCTAGGGAACACCCCAAGTGCTAGAGATGGAGAAAGGGGAGTGAGGCTGCAGCCCTGACACACACCAGTCAGCATCTAACACCACCCCCACTCACCCCCCACCCCCCAGCACCTTTTTGCAACAGGGTGGGTGCAGAGTTTGCAGTCAGCCCCCTCTCGGGTCTTCCTCCCATTAGATGCAATGCTCATCTCATCGTCCCAAGTTCTCCTGGACAGTGTCGGTCGGATTCACTTCCCACGCACCGGAGGGTTTTAGCCGGGTGATGAGTGGGTTAGCATGCTTTCAGGCCTTGAAACAGCTCATGAAGCAAAAGAATCATCTATTCGAAACCAAGGGAAAACGGTGTCAGGCTGAAGTAGAAGAAAGGGGAGAGACAGACGACAGACAGTCAGACAGACAGACAGACAGACACACACACGGTTAGCGGGCAGTCTGAAGGCGGAATGGAAGAGCCCCTGAGCATCCATTTCTTCGCATAGACCAAGTCCTTTCAGGCCAGAGCTCATCAGCGGGCAATGGATTCATTACGAGACTCTCAATATTGAGTTATTGTAAGTTTTTAGAGGGACAAAAATTCAAAACCATTTTTTAAACCATTGCAAACATCGACCACAGTTGAAATTCTATTTGAATACCATTTGTGTAAAAAAAGCAAGCTCAAGAATCTCATGAAGTTACCTTTAAAAAATCATAATTGTGTAAAGCAGATGCAACGAACTTCTTCACCAAGACTCATAACAAACTCCAAATCCCTTCTAGTTTTCCGTCTGTGCCAGGACATGAGGAAAGAGTGATTTTGCCCCCACTGTCATGGTCCAGTGTGGGAGCCCCACACGCCTGCCGTGAGTCAGGATTGGCTCCAGGCAGTGGGTTGGGTTTGACCATGTTCCAAGTTTGCTGCTTCCCCTTTCCTGCGTATTCGAGTTCTCCACCTTGCGTGCCAGGGCCAGAAGTGCCTAGGATGTCTGTGACTGCCTAGCTGTTTAGTCAGGTTAGAGGAAGAGCTGAGGACGGGCCACTTTCAGAAAGCTTTGTAGGGAAAAGGCTCGTAATCTTAGTTCAAATTCAGTTCCTCAAAAAGTCACTTACACTACATTTATTTTCTTTGCCCAATACTTTTATGGATGAAACCAGTGCAGCTTCAAAAAGCCTGAAGGCTGTTTTGTTAAAAAGGGATTATTCATATGCATGAAGGTACTGCAAGACCAACCGATGCAAATTGCACATGGAGGCAGATTATAATTTTTCTTGGTAGTTAAGTAACCTGTCATTAGAAACAAAACAACAAAAACCTTATCTGGAACCCTGAGAGTCTGCACGCCTTAGATGGCACACTGATTATGCAAGGGGAAAAGAAAGACCGAGGGCAGAAAGAATGACAGTAGGCTCTACAACTTACATAATTTGTAGGGTAGCTGGCTGCAAGGGCAAGGGAGGTGAGACGTTCGGGAAGGCCAATGCATATAACATAAGGTACTGTGTACCTTATGTTAAGAGAGGTATAAGTTCAAATAAGATCAACTTGAATAAAATTAAGGTAATGTTTTCCTGATTCATGGAATTTTTGTAAGGATGAGACCTCTTAAAGTAGCATACGATGATCTGGGGTGAAAGTGGGAAGTGTCCTGTAAGTCATTCTGTACGTGTTGTGACCCATGAACATCTCTGAAGCGTAACAGGGACTGTGCCACCTGGAGGCTTGTAAATGTAGGGAGGGATCCCCGTGAAGCCTCTAAATGTGTCGTCCTCTTGGCTCCTGGCTTCGCAGCCAGCGGGCCACCAGGTCCATAACCGCGTCTTCCCAAATGTGCGAAC